GCCCGCGGGCGACGTCAGGCGGGGCGGGCCGCTACGTCGCCCGCCGCCGGCTGGGTGTGCGCGGGGCCTGGAGCCGGAGCGTTGGTGCTCCTCCTCTAGAGCCAGACGGGAAACGGGAAGGGGCTAAAGCGGGGTGCACGGGGCTTTCCCGACCCACAGCCAGCGCGCTGGCGTCTTCGGTCTCGGCCGCCTTCTCCGGGCGAGCCAATTTACAGATGCGGACGCTGAGGGTCAGAGGACGGAATTGCTTTTCCAGGTCTCCAAGCTCCTGTGAAGCTGCAGAAAGGAAGGGTTTTTGACACCGTGGCCTGTCCCTACGTAAAACATCTTGCACAAGAGCATGAGATACCTGTTTTCAATAAAGAGCTTTTACATCCTGCAAATTCAAGGGACGGACAAAGGGACAAAGTCTCTTTGGTGTGACCTGTGCAACTAGTGTGCTCTGTCGACCGGTAACAAAGTTGCCAGAATCACAGGAAGTGCCAAATATGAACAAGGTAAACAAGATGAGCGGGATAAAGTTGAGTGGTAGATACTTGCTATTACACAATCTGCATGTAGTTTAACCAAAGGAAAGCAGCGATAGGACTGGTCTTTTCCTGCTTTCTTCTACATTTCCCTCCCAGAGTAGCAGATAAAAACTAAAAGCAGTGCCTCCTCCAGCAAACAAATTCATCTCTATGGTAACATGTTATAGAGAGGAAATATAACATTAGAGCAGAAAAGTTGGGTTTATCAAACTTATAATTGACCCACGACCTAATTCATTTAATGTACAAGTTCTTGTAGTCCCTTCATTTGGCTGGTGTCCCCAGGAAACTAGGCTCAGGGACACTGAGGCTTTCCTGAGGTCATGGTCTTCAGATTAGAGCTGGCTACCTAGAGCACTTTGACATGCCTGTTTGCTTACCTACCTCAGGCTGAGCCCCGCGAAGAGTTCTTGGTGATTTCAAGGGATCACATCATGGAGCCCCGCCCATCCAAAAGAAGGATAACCTTAGACCAGTGATGGTGAACCTTTTAGAGCTTTCAATGATACAAACAGTCCAGTTAGGCATGCGTACCGTAGTTTCGCCACTTCTGCCCTAGACCATGTCTGTGATCTTTTGCAGCTGAGACTTTAGTGATCCTAGTGAGATTTCCAAGAATTCGAGCAATGTTTAAGCAACAGAGCAGTAGACCTGGAATCCAGCTCTCTTTGCATTTGTAGGGGGTTGTCACAGAGAGGTAAGACCCTGGGTCTGACTCCTTCCAGAGTCTAACATCCTCAAGTATTCTCAACATTCTTCTTAGTCCACTCAGTATTCCTCTTCCTCTTTGTTCCCGGTTTCCCATCCCCAGCTGTTTCTGACCTAGAAATCTTTCATTACTTCACCTCATTGTTTTCTAACCTGCCTAGATATCTAGGCCTCTCTTGTTTCCTCAACCTCTGAGAGAGTTTGCTTCTGGAAGTGACTGAAAGTCATTTCCTTTGTTCATTAACATGTAGTTCCTGTTGTCATTTAACTAGATACTCGGAACAATGTTTCACCACATCCCATAAGGAAGACTTTCCTAATGGAAGCCAACATTTCATTCCGAAAAGATTTGACCACCTACTCCATGGCTAGGGACAATGAACACAAATCAGTCAAAAGGTCATTTAGATGGATGAAATAGACATGAACAGCTGACTGTAATTGTGTACAGAGATTATAGAACACTTTAACCTAAGAGAAACTGAGACATCTCAAAAGCCACAGACGACCTTGATCTAGGGCTTAAAAAGCAGTGTTCAAGTTTGCTGGCCAAAGATATGGGGAAGGGCACGAAAGTGAATGCATTTCCCAGCCCAATTTTTTTTTTGGTACCGGGCAACGAACTCCAGACCTTGCACCTGGCAAGCCACAGAACCACTGAGCTAAATCCCCAGCAGCCCAGTTTTCAATGAATGTGCAGTCACATAGCTGCTATACCTTCTATCCATTCATTTTAGTACACTGAAAATTGTTAAAGACGACAAAAGGTATTTGCCCACTTAAAAATCATCAGCTAGGGATTTAGCTCAGTGGTTCTGCTGCCTACCTCGAAAGCGCAAGGTCCCAAATTCAATCCCCGTTACCAAAAAAAAAAAAAAGGAAATTAAAAAAAAATCATCAGCCATTAGTTTGTTAAGGCTGTGAGCTGGCCCTCATTAACCGTAAGATGTACCTTGATGCATTTTCATTGTGAATCAGATTTGTCAAACACTGTTTTATACAGCTGTCTGGAACAAATAAATATGGAATGTCAAACAGTTCTGCTGAGACAGAGGGGGAGCTCAGTGAGTCTCTTCAAGTGTACTCTGCAATGGCTTGACAAACAGCCATTGCGTTGACCTCGGCTGCTATGTAGGATTTGACAGCTGATTTCCTTCCACCAAATGTATCACTTCCCTATGTCAGTGTTATTGGATATTTGAAACATTTTCCAGAAAAAAATAAAAATCTCTCGTTAGGTCTGACCACAGTAATTCTTAGCCGTTTTTGAATTGCAAATCTCTTTGAGGACCTGACAGAAACTAGGGACCCTTTCCCTCAGAAAAATTCAAATATGCACATACACACCAAATTTTGCATCTGATTTCAATGAGTTTATGATCTCCTGAAATCAATTTGTGAGTCCTATGAAGGGCCCAAAAACCCTAGACTTAAGAACTCTTAAGGACAAATAACATTGGAAATCTCCCAGATGTCTGTGTTCAATACCAAGGATAGGAGTAGCACCCTTTAAAGGTAGCAGGTGGCTAGAAAGGGGGCAGCTGTGACCCACACAGATCCGCACTTGACCCCAGCTTCATCACATCACCCGCTGGTGCTTAAGCAAGTTAATGAAATTCTCCAAGCCTCACTTTGCTCATCTGTAAAATGGAGATAGTAATACTTTCCCTGAAAGTTATTGATGAGGCTTAAACCATAAACGCAGATTTAACAGTCTAATACAGCAGGCCCTCAGTAAATGGTAGTTCTTACTAACACATGTAAAACTCGCAGGGTAGACTTTACTCTGAAACCTACCAGTGCTATTACCCTGAAAAAAATCTTTCAAGATATTTCATGGAGGATCCATAGTGGGTGTGGACAGCTGTAGGAAATGCCTCTTGAGAGCTCATGTCTGTACCTGAGAGGGTGCCTCAGGCCAGCAGCCAGATCAGATTGGCCTTTAAGATCTTTTCCACATCTAGGAGCCAGTCTTCTTTTGCTTTTCACCACACATCAAAAATTTTAAGACAATTGGATGTACAAAATTGAGACTAGTTAGCCACTTGTTCTCTCTTTTAAAATTTGGTTTTGTTTTGTTTTTTTGGTACCGGGGATTGACTTCAGGTCCTTGCGCTTGCGCAGCAGGCGGTGAAACCACTGAGCTAAATCCCCGGCCCTCTCTCTTTTAAAATTTAACTATCAGTTATTTATTTGCAGTACTGGGGATTAAACCCAGGATCTTAACACATGGTAGATAAGCACTCAACCACTGAGCTACATGCCAACCTCTTCATTTATTTCCTTATTCCCAGAGGCCTTTGGAATCTTACTCTACATTACAACCTAAATATTACCAGTATGTAAACCTTACTATATGATTATAATTTATCAGGTTTATTACTTTTCTTTAACTTTCATCATTGTTTATATAAAATAAACACATAAATTTTATTTTGGTAAGACCTACACAAAGTATACATAATCAGACTTAATGGGAGAAATATTTGAGGAACTTTTAGTTCTGCATGGCACAGTAAGAGCAACAAAGTTGTACATTTATATACAACTAACCAAACTAGGAACTAAAAGCATTATGAACAAAGTGTGATGCATTTCACCCTGATAAAAGAGGGGGATCCGGGCTGGGGATTTAGCTCAGTGGTTCTGCCACCTACCTCGCAAGCGCAAGGACTCGAGTTCGATCCCCGGTACCAAAAGAATAAAGGGGGGGGGGGATCTGTGATTTTTTTAAGCTGAAATTTTTATCGAATTAATTCTAGATTCACAGTTATAAAAAATAATATAGAGATCCCTTTCATTATACTTTAGATCAAAAATATCCCCTCAAAGTCTCATATTCAAAAGTGGTGCTGTTAGAAGGTGATTGAGTTACAGCAGCACTATACTCATCAATGGATTAGTGCACTTAGGAGTCTGTAGCTAACTTGCTGCTGGCAGGTGAGGCTTGGTTAGAGATGGGTCAGGGGACGTGACCTAGAAGGATGTAATCTCTTCCCTGGCTCCTTCTTCACTCTCCCTCTTATCCCTCTGCTTCCTGGCTGCCATAAGGTAAGCATGTGTCCTCCACCAGGCCCTTACACCATGCTGTTTCTGTTTTAGAGCCAGCCAGTTTTGAACTGAACCCACTGGAAAACTGTAAGCCAAAGAAACCTCTCAGATATTTTGTCCCAGAAATGGAAAGTGACCAAAAAACTTTCTACTCCTTTCCCAGTTTCTCTCAATGGTAATATTTTGTAAATATGATATCACAACCAGGATGCTGAATTGATGTAATCCAATGATTTATTCATATTCTCATTGTTATGGTTTAGATTTAAAATGTTTCCCCAAAGCCTCACATGTTCAGAGGTGGTGCCTTTGGAAGGTGAGTGGATCATGGGACACTATACTCATCAGGGGATGAATCCATAGTTGAATGTACTGTTAGGTGGGGCCTAGTTGGAAAACGTGGGTCACTAGGGACATGATCTGGAAGAGTATATACTTGTCCCCAGCTCCTGCCTTCTCTTCCTGGTTCCTGGATGCCTTGGGTTGAACAGCTTT